TGCAATATGGAGATTCAAGGGGTTTTGCTGTTTGTCAAACTCTAGCAAGTCAGTTGGGAAATCCGGCCACACCAAGGAAATTTAACACACTAGGTAGAAGCAAAACAAAACAAAACAAAACAAACAGGCAAGCAAACAATCTCAAACATTTGACAGCAGCTCATGTTTTAAAAGAACTTCCAGTGTAAATTTCTAAAATTTCCACTGTCATTTTGGCATACCTATTTTACCACTGTGTTTTAGACAACAGCTTTTAAGTTCCCCAATTCATAAATGTAATTAAATAATTACATTAGTGCTAATTAACATGAAACTGCAGATTATTTAAGCACAAAAAACACTATTCAACTTCTTAATTATTCTTGTTCACACAGCATTTCCTTTTGCTCAGGCGCCCTAGGTGCAAATAAAGCATCCCATCTGCTCGTAATTAGAACTAAATAATTTCAGAGAATGTAGCTTATCATTTTGACTGCACATTTGATTAAAAACAGTGTACAAGCAATATCCTGGCTTATTGGCGTAACAGCAACAACACATGCAAGCCTGTGTTCTTCTATCATTAAAGAAGATCGAAAACATTATCTGTTATTTCAGGGGGAAAAATACAACTTTTTAGTTCATTTCATACAGATGAAAGCGAATTACAGCAAATCACCTCTCCACTGACTAGCAGCCCCCACATAATGACTTTATTTGCTTAATCCCCAAATTAAACGCCGTTTCGAGCGAGGGCCCTGTGTTATTACTCTCATCATGTCGAGAACATTTTCCTGCCGAGACCAATTTGAATAAAACAAGGGGCCTTCCTTGAACTCAATCAAGGAGCCATAATGTGGTGGGTAATAGAGGTTGCTGATAGATTTGCAGGCAAAAGTGTTATACCTAATGATGGGATATGGATAATAGTCCTCCTGGAGGTCCTGATGCGATTCCAGTTGGCTGCCAGATGCTAAAAATCAAGAAGAGCATTGATCAGTGACAGGAAGCTGTAGTGGATTCATCTAGTCAAACTTCAGCTGTTTTTCCACTGTACAGTTAAGCCAGGCATAAATTATATTAATTGATTTAATTACATACTTAAAACATCTTCCCCAATTAATTTAATTAGGTGGCTACATGATGCTACTGGCAGGGGAAGATTAGAGGCAGCTCACTTAATTAACAGAATATGAATGAAAAAAAGAGAAAGCAAACATAAATGAAATTGTGAGCACTAATTAAAAGGCTGTCTGCAAACTTAAATACTTTCTGACAAAGTGGTGACAGCAATGTAGACAAGAGAGGATTTTTTTTCCTAGCAAATTAAAGTGCCAGAAGGTATATATAGGGAGGAAAGGTAATGCAGTTAAAACATTGATTTTCTGACAGAACTACCATAGTCAAGGTAAAGAGACTTTTTTCTGTAGAAAAATTGCAATAGATTTTGCAGGTGCAAAAGCTAGATTCCTGAGTAGGGCTAAAATATGATGCATAAATCTGGGGTTTGTGTACCACACGTTGAGGGTACAGAAAGATGAGAGAAAGGAGGGGGAGGATAGCTGGAGAAAAAGAAGATAAAGAGACAACTTATTGCAATCGCTCAAGCAAGAAATGTTTAGAAAAAGAGGTCTGCCTTAACAGCTGGCAGCCTTGCTGTGCACCACACGTTGAGGGTAGAGAAAGATGAGAGAAAGGAGGGGGAGGATAGCTGGAGAAAAAGAAGATAAAGAGACAACTTACTGCAATCGCTCAAGCAAGAAATGTTTAGAAAAAGAGGTCTGCCTTAACAGCTGGCAGCCTTGTGCACCTTGGCTCGAATGCGGAAATTCTCCAGGTGTCTCTGACGTGATTCCTTCAGGATATTCTTCAGTCGGGTCTTATGGCAATGCAAAAGCCAAGCAATGGCAATCACACCTGATGCCCACTTCTGCTGGTGATAAAGGAGGAAGAGTTTTCTTTCTCTGTAACATTTCCATGTGGCTTGGATCTTCATGGCAGCCTCTGACTCTCCGCCTTGGCCCTTGTACCTCTGCCCTGGAAGATTTAACAGCATTTGTACGTGATCTGGGTTCTCTAACAATGAGAGAAGGTCATACCTGGTAAGTTTATTCTTGAGTTCAAACTCTGGAAGCAGGGCCACCAATCTCTTGCCTTTTATTTTGACTTCTGGTATTGCATAGTCCCTGAGAAACTTCTCGATGTGTTCCAAGAGAGAAAAAATGCTTCCCCAGATTAAACTAAAATGTTCCTTGAATGCTAAGAAGTCTGGGGCTGTCTTGTCTATAACGCCATCATAAATAAAAAAGTCGAAATCCCACGGTGATTTCGGAGCTCCTGAAGGTGTGACTTTCGTGGCCTGTGGAAGAAAAGTGTTGCTAGAGATGAAATATATTGCTATGTCCTTTAAACGAGTGGTCAATACACACATACACTATCACATTATCACTTACCACTCAATGGTGGGACGATATGGATCCTAGTACTGATTTAATACCTACATGTCATAATATGAAAGTCTGGCTAGTATGTATCATTAAAACTCATTACCAGAAGGATATCTTAAGAGATCACTCAAAGTTATTAGCATTTTTACAAAAGTGTTATGAAATTGCTTAGGAAACTAATAAAAAAATTAATTACACATTTAGTTTACTTTGGTATGGTCAGCTGACCCCATAATCTCTGTAATTTACTTTTTACACGTGCTCACATGGTCTGAGAGAAACGTGTTGCTGATTCCTTGTTCATAACTGATCCACCAATCCTGAAAAACGGGGTGAAGCCTTTTTTTGCAGTCTTCATGATAACTTCAAATATGCCCATTAAAAGCTATTCTGACTTCCTAACAAATCATCACTCTTTAGTGTTTTACAGTTCTACAACCTCATAATATCCAGAGGTGATTTTTACAAGGAACATTATGTTGTGTATTATCATATTTTCTAAGTTTCTCTTGACAGTGTTCTTTTATTCTTAAGTCTGTTGTCTTCTTAGGGACATATCTAGGGCTGTCCCCAGGTAGATTAGAATCAAAACTCTCATAACAACACCAAGGAAGCATTTGCTTTTCATTTTGTTCCTATCTATATCGACTGAAATTTTAAGTCATGAAAATAAGCCACTTCAATTTATAAATGTTGAGAGGTTCTATAAGAACGGGATGATGGGCAATTTTTTCTTCTTTATATTTTTCTGCATTAAAAAACAAGAATAAATGCTATTTAAAAAACCAAATCAGAAGAGGTTTGGATGACAATAGCAATATATAATGTCACCTCTACTTTAAAAAAAGAAAAAAGAAGAGGAAATTCTGTTGTGTCTACGTCCACTGTGAAACCACTACATTTCAATTACTGAAACCTGTTGCACTAGAAAAATAGGTACTCTGCCCCGTGATCTGACTGTTCCTAATGGCCTGGGAGTGTAGGGGGAAGTGGAAGGATATAGATGTTTCAGCCCTGAGTTCTCCTCAGTAAGCCAGGTATCAAGTTACTGTGATGATTGTTTCTTCTTACATAGGGATTTAAGGAATAGATTGTCTTCAATATGTAAGCATTTTCAGATGTATAAGCCCATCTTTCCCAAATTGTAGGATTATATTGCTCTCTGCATTTTGAAGAGCTTTCACAAAATTCAAGAAAAAAACCCGGTTAGTTTATCAGTAACTATTATGCCCCAGCACTGTTTTGAGTGAGTAATACTATGTTAGATTGTTCATGCTTTGTCTTAACTAAATACTAGTGGGAGTAATTAATAAATTCAAGGCAGAAAGCTAAGAGAAAAGGAAGCCAAGAGATATATTTATAATAAAAGCACAAAAAGCAAACATAAGGGGAAAAAAAACCGTCAGATTACTTTTCTCAGGTTCTGGGCAATGGAATAATTAATTAGACTGTCATCTCAAGTAATAAATTCAAGGCAGAAAGCTAAGAGAAAAGGAAGCCAAGAGATATATTTATAATAAAAGCACAAAAAGCAAACATAAGGGGAAAAAAAACCTTCAGATTACTTTTCTCAGGTTCTGGGCAATGGAATAATTAATTAGACTGTCATCTCAAGTAACAATGCTAAAAAGCAAATGTTAAGTCCAAAAGGGAGAATTTCCTTTAACTTTAGAAGCAAACTTTAAACAGCAGTGAGCTTTTGTATATTTTAAAGTTAAGAGTTGTTATAAGGTATAAAAATGATGGAAATAGTCTTCTCACTGAGACTCTAGCCCTTTCTGGTCTAATAATCAGGGCACCAAGAGAGAATGCAAGCTGTTTGGTAGATGGAAATAAATTCCTTCTTCTTGGACAGGCAAGAGAGAGTTAGTTGGCACATGTTCCAGCAGAAATGGCTTATGGCTACATTTCCGCCTTCCTTCAAGAACAGGTCCTAATGGTAGGCAGGTTGGAATTCAGAGAATGACAGTGCTTCATCAGTGAGAAATAGACAAGCAAAATAAGCACAGATGAGCATGTATGGAGCTGGCTGGCCCTGCCAGTCACACGTGTGATTCTGTCAGTGAGACTCTGTGATTCCTATAAGAAGCAAAGGTATGGATGGGAGATTTGCCAGAGAATCCTGATTCCTTGGAGATGTTCAAATATTTTTGAAATTCTTTATCATTACAAAGAGTCATGTGGAATTGGGATCATCTATGAATATAGAACAACCTTGGGAGAAGCTGAGAAAGGAGAGGACTCTAAAGTCTCTGGACAGTGCCGTTTGATGGGGAGGATCTAGGGTATTTATGTACATCAACAAATGCATTTTAGTCCTTCTGAAAGAACAGCCTTGGGTGGGGGTGGGGTTGTAAGAATCTAAGAGCAGCTGTTTTACAACAAAGAGATTGCACCTTCCTACCTTCTTGGATGATATTCCAGCAAAGATCTGCTCTCAAAGGAAACACACTCTTGGACATCAAATAGACCACTCAGGCACTGGGAAGCTATGGGTTTGGAGTTAGCTAAAGCATAACTGTAGTACATCTGTCACGGAGAATGCCACACTTGGGAGCACTTTAGACTTAGAGCAAGAAAAGACATGCCTCTCAAGAGAAAGGCTTCCCAAATTAAAGCAGTGCATCAGCATTGTGAGATCCATTGAGCAGGTAAAGACAAAGCTGCTTCATAGCCTGCTAAGAAAGAGCCCTGATTAAAGGTCACGCCATACTTCTGGCTCCTTCGTTATTTATTTCCATGAGCTTGTCTACTATTGGTCTATTATTTGTTCTCTCTCTCTCTCTCTCTCTCTCTCTCTCTCTCTTCCCTTCCTCCCTTCCCTTCCCTGATCTTTCCTTATTTCCCTCCCCTTCCTCCCTTCATCACTCCCTTTTTGTTTAAGATGTGCTGCATTCCCAATGTGACATTACTGACTCAATAGCAAAATTTTTTCCTTCTACTGGGGATACATCTCTGTCGAGGCATCTGCATTCTCAGCTGGTCCTTCTTGGGCCCAAAGCCACGCCTTTACCCTTGTGTGATGCCTACATTCACTTGCTGGTCCATGCAGAGCCCAAACCTGTGGCCATGGCCTAATTATTTAGCACCCTGCTCTAACTGATGAAACTAGCTGGGAAATGCTCTTCTTCATTTACAAAGTGTAATCACTAATTAGGTAACTCTGAGAGTTTCTGGAGCAGTTATTTAGGGAAAATCCTAAATCTAAAACAAAAAATAGGAAGGCAGGATGATGATTATGTATGTTAGTAAGTCACAGATGTGAAGCAAAAAAAATAGGCCCAGTGTTACATTCCGAAATTTAGAAATAACTATCATAAGAAAAATTCTAGGAAAAAGGAATATATTTCTAAGCTGAATGTCTTTATGAAAAATATTCTTTTCACATATATGGACAGCATGCAGGTATAGGATTAAACTGGATCCCTGAGTTAGATATAGGCAAGATCTCCTAGTGGTAAGTAGTCAAGTATTTGGGATACTCCATGGATATCATCTTTAGAGAATGATAATTATCCCATTGCCTAGAAAGATAGGCTAAAATATTTTTTAATCTATGAGCCAGTGTTCAGTTTCTCAAACACCCAAACGTATGCATTAGGAATCAGCCTAGGCAATTGCATTGTATAAAAAACATTAAGTTCTTCCTGCACATTATGGCTCTCAGTGAGAGCTTAGATTCAGAGTATGGAGTGTTCCTCAGAGATGAAGTCTGCGTTATTCTCCAAAGACCAGGAATGCCATTTGTCTGGCCTTGTTCTTTAATTTTTGTTGAGGGTCCACAACGTGTTGAGTTTTGTACAGAACAAACATTAGGACCTCATCTGGCTAGAATTGTGTAAAAGATACACACAGTGTTCAGAGAGAGAACAGCTGACCTAATCAGGGTTCAGGGATACAGCATCATTACAGTCATGCATTTTAGAGCACGAGGGATTTTGATGGTCACTGGCCTTGCCTTTTGTTCAATAGGCTATTATGGGCTCAGGTAATGAAGTCCAACTAACCTGGGTTCAAATCCAAGCTCTGCCACTATCTGCTACATACTCTTGGGCAAGTTGCTACCCTCTCTGAATCTAAATGTTCTCATCTGAAAACATGAGAGGTCCCTGGAGAGTTGCTGTGATGATTATAATACAGGTAAAGATCCTTTCAGGGTGCTTCAACCCCAGTCAGTGTAGTTATTACTAGAGATGAGGAAACTGAGGCTCAGAGAGCTTAAATGACTTGCCCAAGATCACAAAGCTAGTTGGTGAGTCTTCTTAGCTTCTAGGACATATTTTTGCTAGTATAAGAAAAAATCCTGTTTTTAAACATCCCCAATCCATACAGAACTACGGGAAGGAGAAGTACTAGATGAAGTTTGTCTTTGCTCCTTTTCTATCTCCTTGTTCCAGTCTCTCTTTCTTCCCTTTTGGTGCTTTCTCTTCCGTACCAACCCCATGCTGTCCCCTTCCTCCATAATACCAATGCCCACAGCCCTAACCAAGCCCTCTTCTTACTCGGCCTTCCTTCTCTCACCTCCTATATCAGAGCCAACCTGGCCTTGACCGGCTGTTTCTTTTTATTTGGTAGACTGGAAAGCAATTTGTTAAACAAACCCTTATGAATGTGTTAATGAACAGCACATGGTATGGTGGAAAAGCAGTGGATCTGAAGCAAGATAACCTGAAATCTAGTCTGTCACACCTTCCTCTGTGGCCTTGGGAAGTCACTTCTTCCTGTGGGTTTCCGTTTCCAAGAAAACTCCAGAAAGTGATATTCCAGTATTCTGAGGTCTGCAGCAAGTCAATGGTTCTCAGTTCATGAGACCTAGATATTGCCTAAGCTTTAAGTGTCAATTAAAAGTGAGACTCAGAGTCCTTAACCTTTATACACAAAAACTGAGAACTCATTGAGCTGAGACATATAA